TCCCTAAAAACTAGATCACGTAATTTATGGAAGACCCCTACCAGCAAAAGTGATCGAAAATTGCGTTTTCACAGAGATTTTATGCTTAGACAATAATAGAATATATTATATATTCATGTATGCTTTTATTTTATTAATGAAAATTATTGAAAATGATTCCAATACTATAAAGAAAACACACAACAGCAATTACTACTTTTGATAAATTATCTTTTTTTTTCATTTATTTATATATTAATTTTATATCTGTCAGTCTGGTATGAGAGGTTTTGAAACAATTTTCATATTTTATATACGTATCATTTGTCTATTTTATTATACAATATAATATTTATTATAATTAAAATATCTTTAAATATCTATTCAATCTTCAATTTCTTTATAATATTTCTTTATTTTCCTTTTGAAATTATTGTCGATGGTATTCTTAATATCTATTGGCAGTTCATTATATATTTTACTTTACTGTATCACATATTCTCTTAATTTCTTCTTTTTATTATGTTCAATGTAAAATTTTTCGTGTTGTCTAGTGTAGTGTTTGTTGTACTTGTTTTAATTTTGTTATATTTCATTTTGTATATTAATTTGCATTTCTCTATTTTAATTATGCTGTTTAGTGAATGAATATTGGTTTTTGTTTGTAAGTATTTGGTAGGTGTTAAATGTGGAAAATATGATATATTTATAGCTTTGTTTACTATCCTCTGTATGTCATTTAAGTTAGCTTTAGTTGTTTGACTCCGAGTATTTTATTCCATTTAAAATATAAGAATTAAATATATGCGCTTTAAAAATCAGTACCTTATTGTTATTATCATTGATCAAAATTTATTGATTACTGATTTTTGTCCTTGAATATTTAATTGTGGTACGGAAAGTTCCAGAAATTTGCCTTACGGGTTAGGGGTACTTGGAATTTTTGAAAAATCGAATTTTATTTTTTTGCATTTTCATTAAGTGTAATATATAGAAAATGTTCTCTGAAAATGTTCTCTGAAAATTTCAAGTTGATCCGATGATTACTTGTTGAGTTTTGTAATGTATAGAAAATCTTTTAAACGATTTACGACGATCTCAGCAATGTTAAATTACTTTTAAGATGTGTAGTTCAAGATTGAATCCATAATCAGAAAAAACTATCATTTTTTCGTGCCTCCAAGTACCCCTAACTCCTTAAGGCACGATGCCATGCACCACTAGTTTTTAATGCAAATTGTTGATAAAGATTCCAACACCAAAGGAAACATACAACAGCTATTACTACTTGCTAGAATTTATTGAAAAGGTCCCTATCAACAAAATTAACTATACCATGTAGATTTGATTTTATATATAAGTTATATATATTATATAACTTATATATAACTTATATATATATATATATATATATATATTTTATATATAATCATTGATCAAAATTTATTGATTACTGATTTTTTTTCTCGAATATTTAATTCTGGTACGGAAAGTTCCAGGAATTTGCCTTAGCAGGCACGATGCCATGCACCACTAGTTTTTTCAATTTTTAATTTAATTGTTGAAAAAGATTCCAACACTAAACAAAACACACAACAGCTATTGCTAGGAGAAATTATCATTAAAAAGGTTTATAATCCCTGTCCACAAAAAGTAAATATTACAAATGCGGATTTGTTTTCATATATAACTTAAGTTATATAATTATAGAGATAGTGGTGACAGCAAATGAAAATTTAAACACAAATGTCATAATAAAACTTGTAGCTTTTGTTTTAATTTAATTAATTACATATGTTATCTCTTTTGACAACCGGCTTGAGAAGAATGTCGCAGCCGGCGAAACAATCGCCGAGTAGTTGCAAGCCGTCGGCCAGTTGCAAATCGTCTACAGATCCATCAGCAGGTATGGCTACTCAGGATAATCCAAAATCTGCGCTAATTTTAATCGCAAAAGGAACAGAGGAAATGGAATGTATAACAGCAGTTGATGTTCTCAGGAGAGGCGGAGTAATTCATTTTTATTATTTATAATTTTCTATATTATTTATTACACTTTCCTAATTTTTATAACATACGTCCAAGCAACAATATTACATTTTATAAGGTTGTCAAATATCTCCCTTCCGCCTTTTTGTATTATAAACCAAGAGCAAAAAAGCGGAAGGGAGATATTTGACAACCTAATATAACTATGTTGTACAGTAGAACCTCACTCGGACCTCAATCATACGGATTTGATAAGTTGAATTGATAAATTTGATAATAATTCATAATGTTAAGAAAATATATATATGTACATACATAAGGAAATGTTAATTTCTTATTACACATTGAATTATGTATGTATTTGTTATTTTTGATGATTACAGATCATTATTCTTCATATATTGGATAATCTGGATTTTTGATTATCCGGATGCCTATCGACAACAATTAGTTCAGATAATCGAGGTTCTACTCATAGATAAAGAAGAGTATGTGTACTGTACTATCATAAAAGGTTCTACTGTACTATCATAACATTCAACATAGCAACAAAACTTCTTGAATTTATTGATATTAAGATAATAATACTATTAAGATAAAACACTAAACTTAAAAAATTTAGCATTTATCGATAAATGCTATATTTTTTAAGTTTAGTCTTTTATCTAAATATTATTAGTATCAAAGTTAATATGAAGAAAAATGTTTATAAAAATTTTAATATAAAAAGGCTATATATGATCATATATAGCCTTTTTATATTAAAATTTTTATAAACATTTTTCCTCATATTAACTTTGAATTTATTATGAAAAGTGTTATCTAAATTCTGGTCAAGTTAGGTTAGGTCAAGGTCAATAAGGTTATTGAAATTATAATTCTTAAATAACACAACTTTCTTTCTTTGCATTATCGAATTGATTCTTTTTTATAATTTATACAGGTCGATGAATAAATGCTCTAACATTCATGTAAATTTGGCATACATAGTATTATTTTTTGATAGCAACACAATTATATATATATATATATATATATATATTAATTTTTTTTTTATTTATTTATATATATATATATATATATATACATTATTTTCATATCTCAGTCAGACAGAGGTGCCTGGTATGAGAGATTATGAAAAACAGTTTTCATATTATATATATACATTTCATCTGACTATAATATCTATTTCATTAATATAATATCTATTATAATTAAAATATCTCTATCTTTATATACAGCTCTTCGGTCTTCTTTGTCTTCAATTTCCTTATAGTATTTCTTTTAAATTTATCGTCATCATTGGTCATCTTAATATCGTTTGGCAATTTGTTATATATTTTGCTAGCACTCCATATGACATTTTCTCTAAAATTCTTCTTTCTATTGTGTTCAGTGTGAAAATTGTTGTGTTGTCTAGTGCAGTAGTATCTTGATTTATGTCTATTGTTGCACTTGTTTTAATTCGGTTAAATTTCATTTTGTGTATTAGTTTGCATTTCTCTATTTTAATTATGTTATTTAGTGAATGATTATTTGTTTCTCTCTGTAAGTATTTGGTGGGTGTTAGATGTGGAAAATTATATGCTGTTTTAATGGCTTTATTCATTATTATCTGTTATTAAATATTATATTAAATTTTATTTTATTCTTTATAACAATATTTTGTTAATTATTTTTTATTATTATTACTATCTAGATTACAGTTCATTTAGCTGGGTTGTGTGGAAATAAGCCAGTAAAATGCAGAAGTGATAGTGTAATATCTCCTGATATTGGTCTAGCTGATGCGAAAGGACCTTACGATGCTATAGTTCTTCCAGGAGGCCTCGATGGCTCAAAAGCATTCTGTCAATCAGAAGAATTGGGTGAATTATTGAGAGCACAAGAGAAGTGTGGGCGCATTGTTGCTGCAATATGTGCAGGTAATAATTTTATACCAATATATCCTATTGTATAAAAAATTACTACTTTATATTTAAGAATATATCAAAACTTGTACAAAAGTATGTTGTATTATTAAATATCATAACATACATCTTCTATTTCCGATTCTAATTGTATTATTTTGAATGGTTTAAATTGTAATTTCTTTTTCTAGCACCAACTGCTTTGAAAGCCCATAAAATTGGCTTAAAAAAAAGAGTTACTTCCTACCCATCAATGAAAAGTGAAATGGTCAAAGATGGTTGCTACACATATGTTGATGATCAAAAGGTAGTTGTCGATGGCAACGTTATAACAAGTCAAGGGCCGGCTACAGCAATAAATTTTGCAATTGTGCTTGTGGAACAAATATGTGGCCGAGAGAAAGCTCAAGAAGTTTCAAAAGGATTGTTGTTCGATTATTGCTCTTTATATTAATCATTGCTTATAATGTAAATTGAAAATCATGAAATTTTCTTTGTTTATATATTTGAAACAGATTTTATTATTGTTTTTGTGTATACTATTTCTATATATATATATATATATATATATATATTATTGTATTGTTTATTATTTAAAGTAACATTTACATGAATACAGAGTGAAATAATTTAAATTATTCTTTCACAAGTTTGAATGTTTGTTAGTATCTATATTTTTATTGTGTACTGTTTTGTGTACTTTTGAACAGCAGCGGCGCCATAAAGCCCAGCTTCTTTTGGATTTGTAAAAGCAATTACAGATTTTAATGGAAAAACATTGCAAAAAATGCTGGAAGTTTAGGTATCTGATAGAACCGCTGACTGTGGTGATCGTTTGGTATGTTTCTTTATACTTCTGTACACTATGCATTTTGATTATTGTGAACTAGTAAAAACAACGGTGTTTTGCGATTGCCCTGATAATTTTCAATTATAACCATTGTGTACAATCGTTTTAGAAGGAAAACATACAAAAAATGTTTGCTTGATGGCAAGAAGGTTTAAATTCCACTGAAATTAATTGAAGCATTTTATTTATTCATACATAATATCTTTAATCTAATAAGAATCTAAGATACTTATCATTTTCTCATTATCATGCTTTAATAGTAATAACTTATTTTGGAAAATATATCATTTCATCAAGTATATTATATTACACAACAAAATAAATAGGCAGAATTATTAAATCGTTTTATTGCAATTGGGCTGGGGGTGAACTTATAGTAATACCGGAATTGAAAAAAATTAAATGATTTATTTTAATCTGAAGAAACTGATGGTTTTCTATATATTGTTTAAAATTAATTTAAATATTTTATTTTTCATTCCATAATTCATTTATGTACGTGCTTCAAATTCGTGGTTTTGATTTCCGAAGTGCGATCATTCACTATGCTTTTACAATTTTTTTCTAAATGCCTATGATCACTATTTTGAATATTTGAAAAAATGTAGTATCTTATAATTTTATTAATATAAAACTGCTAAAAACCAAACTCGTTATTTGAAAATCCTGAGTTAGGCGATTTTTAATTATTATCCTATTATGGCGCAAAAAAAAATAAAATTTATACGTTCAAACTTTTAAAGAACGATAATGCAGAAATTAATTTAAATTTTTGTGAGTAAAATTGGCCATCGATGATATTTTAGGTGCATAACTGTAACAATCCGCTTATTTTTTTGGTTATCATATATTGCATTTTGTATTGCAATTATAACGGGTTTATGACGCTCAACAAGGATGAAATAAAAGTAAAAAATATTTAAAGACGGTGAACCCGAACAAATATAAACATGCAACGTAGTGATTTTAGCGCAGTGATTTTTGTGTCTTCAGTAAGAATTTTTGGTAAAAAATAATCGATTAAAAATTTCGTTCATATAGAAAACGTCGGTAAAGTTCGTCACAATAATTTCCATATACATTTGTACATATGCTTCTTAAAAAATGTAACAAGGGATAGTATAAAGAGAAAATCATCAGTTATATAATAAAAACTATTTATGCAACTTTATGAATTTATACAATTTGTTTATGTTTATCTACGTTAAAATGAATAGTACCGTAACAACTTTATAATAATCGATGCCACAATTTCTAACATATTTCATAAAACATTCATATTCCCAAATTGAGAAAATCTTCTAATTAAAAGTTTGTGTAAAAGTTAGGAAAATGAATAATGCTATGTATTGCCCGGCGAATACCGCGACGGGGGCCGCTGGTCAACTTTTTACTATGCTATTACAAACCGTTATGGCTACTCCATGTAATTTAACATCTGCATGGCCTAGGGATGAAGGCGAGGAATTGGATTCAGGTGAAAATGAATTATTAAATGTATTATTTGTATGCATATATTTACAAAGTTTTGCATTTTTTCTTGGTATACATAGCCATATAGTCAATCAGAATAAATATTATCCTTTGTTTCCATTTTGAATAAAAACAAAGAAAAACTATTATATATAGTTTTCGATAAAAATGCATGATTTTATCATTTTTTTATTATTAGTTTAAAATTCATTTAATTTTGCAGATTTCGCAGCATACGATTTTATAGTGATAGGTGCTGGATCAGCAGGTTCTGCATTAGCCCATCGGTTAGCAGAAAATACAAGTTGGCAAATATTATTACTTGAAGCTGGGGGTGATTCCGCCTATAACTACAGAAGTAAGTTTTGGAAACAAATTATAAAATTCCTGAACTATTTTTATTTGCAATGTTTAATTGATTTGTGTTTTATTTATGAATAAATTTAATTGAAATCATACCAAATTACTCATGTCAATTATTTTTATACATTTAAACTTGCCCTTTTTTATAAATTGTTATTAATACTTATTGTCCACCCAACATTTGAATTTTTGTACTTCGAGCTAATATATATAAAATAATCAATAAAAATGTATGGTTTAATTTTTTAAAAATACCTTACACTGGTTAGATTTAGAATTTTAAATGATTTCGAAAATAAGAAATTTATTTTTAGGTAATTTAGGTTTATTGGACTCTGATTCAATCGATGCAAAGCCTTACATAAAAACTTATGTGACTATTATATCTCCAAAGTAACTATATAATTTCAAATTAATTAATTTGTAATTATAGTTACTTTGGAGATATATTTAAATTGGACGTTTGTTCGTGTCTAATATATATAAGCTTTTTTAAAACTAATGCTTTTTATATTTTTCACTACTTAGTAGTTTTATTATAATTTTTTTTTTGTTCTAGATACCGAAATTGTTTTTTTACAATCAAAAAACAGAAATTGATTGGGGTTATTACACTGAACCAAGCGAAAATTATTGCTTAGGTTTTAAAAATCGGCGATGCTATTGGCCAAGAGGAAAAACCTTGGGCGGATCATCCGCAATTAATGGAATGGTTTATTTGAGAGGAAATAGAAAAGATTATGATTCTTGGGCGGCAGCTGGAAATGAAGGATGGAGTTTTGAAGATGTTTTGCCATTTTTTAAGTATTCAGAAGATATGCGAGCACCCCAAGTTCTGGAACAAGATAATGATGGATATTACCACAGCACAGGTGGCAAATTAAAAATTGATAATTACTTTGATTCTAATTCAGATTTAAAAAAAGCACTAATACAAGCAGCTGGAGAATTAGGTTTGAATTATATTGTCGATCCGAATTCAGATACTAAGATTGGCATAACAACTTTACAAGGTACTCTAGATCACGGAACAAGATGCAGTTCAGCTAAAGCGTTTCTTACTCATAAACAAAGTAATTTGCATGTTATTAAACATGCTTTAGTTACAAAAATAATTATAAACAAGCAAAGTAATTGGGCAATCGGAGTACAATTTACACGCAAAAATAAAAAATATACAGCATGGAGTACAAAGGAAGTTATATGTAGTGCGGGTAGTATTAATACACCCCAGCTTTTGATGCTGAGTGGTATCGGTCCTAAACAACATTTGAATCAACTAAATATTCCTCTTGTCGCAGATTTACCAGTTGGTCTTAATTTACAAGATCATATGTTCATACCGATTTGGGTTTTACTAAGAAGATCAAATCAATACGTCTCTCCCAAAGAGAATGCTAAAGTAATATTTCAATATTTTATGGATCATGATGGTCCTATGGCAGGTTTTGATATAACAAATATTGCAGCTTTTATTAATACCGACGATCCCAACTCTCTTTACCCAAATACTCAATTCCATTTTGTGCTCATGCCCAAGTTAGACACAAGTGGATTGCCCACAATCATAAAAGATTTTGGTTATTTAAATGAAACTCGGAATTCTCTAATAGAAGCCAATGAATTGGGTGATATTGTATTATTTATGGCCAGTATATTGCATCCAAAATCTTCCGGATACATAAAACTAGCCAGCAAAAATCCTACGCAACATCCCAAAATATACCCAAACTACCTGAACGATCCTGACGACCTTAAAATTGGATTAAACGCTATAAAATTTATTGAAAAATTCATTAGTACTGAAGCTTTAAAAAATTTAGGTGCGGAATTTGTTAACTTGAATATTCAGAATTGTAATAATTTTACATTATTTAAAGAAAATTACTGGAAATGTTTTATCAGAAACTTTGCAACAACAGAATATCATCCTGCAGGTACTTCAAAAATGGGTCCATTAAATGATAAATCATCTGTAGTAGATGCAAGATTAAAGGTGCATAAAATGAAAGGCTTGCGGGTTGTAGATGCAAGTATTATGCCAAATATTGTTAGTTCAAATCTGAATGGACCAACGATAATGATAGCAGAAAAAGCTGCTGCAATGATTAAAGAGGACTGGCGACGTTATATCTTTTAACAATATTTGTTTTAATTAGTCCTTTTCGATATGAATAATATTTTATAATTAAAAATAATGTTTGTGTATGGATGTAAAATACGGTAATAAAATTAGTTATTTACAAAAGTATTTATATTATATCAGTCATATCCAAATTAAACTGGTTTTGGGAAGTTTTCACATAAAATTTTATATTTGAATTTTTTGTGGTTAACGGTTGCAAAACGATTTTATATATTTTTAGTTGGCACTTTGTCAAAAGGTACTACTTCAGACCGCACTAGTTTCGGCAAGTTTTACAAATGACAGATAGTTGACAGTTATTTGTGTTGGTTTATATTCAGCGTTTATATTTTTATTTAGTGCCGTTAAGTGATATTTAATTAGTCGAAAATGTCTGTTTATTCGGCTTTGCAATTGTTGAAATATACACATGCTGTTGTTTGTAGAATACCCACATCATTAGAAACTAAGTCTAAAATAAATATTGAAGAAGCCAGAAAACAACACGAAGCTTTTGTAAAACTTTTACGTGAATTATATTTAGATGTTATTGAGCTTCCTGCAGATGAATCTTTACCAGAATGTGGCTTTGTTGAAGATACAGCAATTGTTTGCAATGGAATTGCTCTCATGACCAAACCAGATTCAGCAGTTAGACAAAAAGAGGTAATTCGATATGAGTTAGGCGTTGGCTGCTTTAGTAATTTATTCTAGTTCACGGTCGCACGCTCATTAATAATAAACTCATAAAATTAATTAATTCAAATAATAACTGTGCCACTTGTGAATCAAATGATTCTTGAAGAAATGAAATTTAAAATTGTAAATATAACCTATAATTTTGTTTTATTATATATTTTTGATTATTACAGGTTGAAATTATTAAACATGTTTTAAAGAAGGAGATAGGTTTAACTGTAATGGATATAGATGTGCCAAATGCTAAACTTCATGGTGGAGATGTATTATTTACTGGTAACGATTGACTTTATACTATTGAGTCTGTGGCTTTAAAATTTGATACTTTATTTACTAATTGCATTTTATGTGATGCAATGCCAGTTCACACACAAAAATTAATTAAAACCTTTTTTAATCCTAACTTTCATTCAATTCTTACCAAAAGCCTAATAGAACGTGTTGCACAAATGTAATTATTAAGAAATCATTAAGTAATCAAATATACATATTTAGACTTAATTTGTATAAATATAAAATATTAAAATGATTTTAAAAAATAGTGCAATCTATATATGTTATACTAACTGTTTTTACAGGACGTGAATTTTTTATTGGTTTATCAACTTCAACTAATGAAGCAGGTGCTATGGCTGTTGCAGAAGCTTTTCCAGAATTTCCATGTACAATTGTGAAGGTATACAATCAATTCATCATTATGAAATAATGTGCTCGTTGAGACATTTTCTCAACAGTAAAATATTCAAACCATATTGTACATTTTGTAAATGTGTAATAATTTATACAATTACTGTTAGTTAAAAAGAATTGTTTAAAATTTACATATAATGCTTACCATTTTGCAAATCATTAAACGCAGAGAAAGACAAATTAAAACCGTGATTTGTGATTATACTATGAGCATAATATTATAAGGCGTTGCACATTTTAATCTTCACCATTTTTTATTTTTTTTTTTTTATTTTGTTGTTATTTTTGTTATCGATAATTTTTTATTGACAAATTTATTTTAAAAATTCTCTACATTAATTTTTAAATCTTTCTAAAAGGTTCCAGATGGAACTAGATTGAAACACCATATTACATTGGCTGGTCCTGATTTACTCTCTGTGGGTTCTGGTGACGCAGCTCGTGAAGTTTTACATAGAGTTCAACGAGAAGCTTCCTTTCAAGAATATATGAAAATTACTGTACCTGAAGATTGTGCTGCTAATGTCCTCTATATAAATGGAACGATTGTTCATAGATCAGAAAACGAGGCACCTCAATCATATCAGGTATTTGATACACTGAATGTTTGTATTTTATACAATCTGAAACATATGAGCCAATCTATTTTAAATTCTTACTTAAATTAGTTACTGCGTTATTCTAATTCTATTGGTTACTTAGATGGCACCAATTACTTTTCTTTATCTACTATTTTATATTGTTTAAATCTTAATATTATTATAATCGGAATATATTTTTATTTTTGCACTTCACACAATTATCCAACATTTACTTTACAATTTTTAGCTGTTTTGTGATAAGATTGACTATCATAGAAGATCATTATCAGTGTCCGAGTTGTCAGCAGCTTCTTGTGGACTTACATCTTGTTGTTTACTTGTAAGAAAGACAAGACATATATAATTCTATTTTGTAGTGTAAAGAATACTTCCTAGATATGAGAAGAATTTGGTAAGTGCATTTGACAAATATTTTATGTGCGTTTTAATTATGACATTCTTTACTATCACAAAAGATAAAGATTTATCTGACATTGACCTTTTTGTCACATATATATTTTACATTAGTAAAAAATGTTAACTATTAATATATTATATGCCCTGTTTAGGCACTATATACAAAGATTTAATTTATATAAATTTGCAACATTATATTAAGTATTTTTTTAGTCATAATATTTATAATTTACCAAGTTATGAGTGACTTGCTAGATTTTCTTATTTATTTTATATTATTTTATTTATATTAACTTATTATATTAGCAGCTCTCGAGTAATAATTTAATTGAAAATAATTAAAAAATATTTTAATTATTAAATTTGCATTTATACATGTAATAAATAATTTTTTAATAGTATAATTTAGTGTTAAGAACATAAGTTCTTCCTTCAAACAACTACTCTCATCAATATATGACATGTTCTATATTACTTGAATATATACAATACCGAAAAATGTATTAATAGAATATATATTTATGTTCCAAGTCTATTTAAAAAACAGAAGATTTGATATTATTAAATTTAAATCGTATTATTTAAAATGATTGTATCAAATACCAAGTAGTTTTAATGTCAAAACATTGTTAGCATTAAATGTTAAAAAAAAAAATAGAATTTAAGTGTTCTTCCCAGTGTAAATGGTGAATTTATTTATTAAAATATCACGTTTTCTAACCTAGATATAATACAAAACTTATGAATAATATAATACTAATACTGTTGGCATTTAATCTATTATGGAAATAAATTTATTTATGTTAATAATACATGTTGCATACACAATTAAATGGAATAATAATTACCGTTTTCGAAAAGATTTTTTTTTGCAAATTTTATTCAATTAGTAAATAATAAAAGATGAATATTTTAGGTTTAGGTTCAACATATACATTTACTTTATTGAATACAAACGGTAGATTGTAAATATTTCATGTTATTCAATCTCTACACTCATTTTTTTAAATATCATTGAAGTTTTAGTTCAGGCTGTATAAATTATCAAGAATTGCAATTGGTTTTAAATTTATGCGTTTATCTTTTCTCTAAAAAAATATCTAAACAGTAATTATTATCATTATCATTATCCTGATCTTCTTGAGAAACAAATTAAAAAAAAAAGTTTTTCTCTATAATTTATAGATCATGCAAAATTATGAATCTTTTTTTTTTTAAAAAAATAATTACATTCAATAAATATTTTTATGTTTTGTTTCAACTCAAAATCATTTATTTAAAAGACTATATGGGTACATTACATAAAATCTTAAATTATGGTTGTTTCTACTTAAGTCCAAAGCCGTGTTTGTTGCAACTAATATTTGAATCTTTGTTAATATAAATTTTAAATTGATAAATACACAATTTTTTTTTGTTATTTCGGTACGCATGTCTGAAAATACGTTATAAAAAAACGTCCTTGATACAAATCATAAAAACAGTCTTTTAAAAAAAATAATAAGAGACAAGAAGAATTTCCATCAAAGGTATTTTTATATTGCATTATCGTCATGTAATTAAGCGATAGTTGGATGGATAGCCAGCCCCATTATGTGCGATAAATCAATATATTCCTATTACGCAAGTGTTTACTTAACAAATCAATAATATTCGATTAATATGTAATTTTATTGTTTATTAATAAGACCTTTAACCTGCAGTTCTAAACGCGTTTATAAAAATTTTACGGCACCTATGCTGGCAGTGAAGTAATGTAGTTACAATGTCACTGTGTCAGCATCCAGTTTATTTCTGGCTACTAGAAACCTAGATTAGAACAGGAGTGATGAACGTCTTTAGAAAATGGGTTTCAAGAGACTGATATTTTATAAATGTTTCATGTCGCACTCTTAGTTTTTGTTGAATATTGTGTATTTAGTGTTCAATAGCCTTTGACAAGCTAGTGTTTTTTTTTTTCAGTTCACATGTAATTGCAAAACGAATTTGAAATTTGTATATTTGCTTTATTAACTTTCCGTAGGGTAGTTCATAGATATACAAGTATAAAGTGGGGTAGTTATAGTAATGGGCCGAAAATCGAAAACGAAAATTTTTGCATATTTTTACGTTTTGAAGGTTTCTGAACATTTTGGCATACAGAAAAAAATGGATGTGTGTGTATGTTTTGTATGTCTGCATTTTTTCGTCCACGTTTTCGGGCGCACGGATCAACCGATTTGAATCATTCAAAAAACTCTTATTGATAGGGAGATGTGCTGATTAGTTTTTGGCAAAGGCAAGTCCAGCCGTTACGGAGATACGGAGCAAAGAGTGCAGAAAATTCAAATCGAGTTTTTGAGAGAACGGAGTATCCGATTTGAATGATCTAAGAAACATTCAATTTGTAATGATTGGAAAGGCAGGTCCAGTCATTGAAGATACAGAGCTAAATGTACAAAAAATGGCAGTTTTTGAGAGAACTAAGCGTCCGATTTGAATGATTCGAAGAACTTTCTGCTTGTTTTAACAAAATAATTGCTTTTGGAGAAAAATATATTTCAAACTTTTTTTTTTCAATTTTTTTGCATATAGAAAATAATTCAGATTTTAATTTTAATTCTGCCTAAAATTCTAAAGCTCTCTTCTGTACTTTAATTTCAACTTTGCAATTCAGTTTTTATATAATTCTTATAAATATTAGACAATTACAGTATTTATAATAATCTATTTGAAAACATTTAATATTACTCGAACATGTCGTTACGGTACGGGAAGTTCCAGCAATTTGCCTTAAGGCACGATGCACACCTCTAGATTTTGCTTGTGGTCTTGAACGCACATGAATGAATAAAATGGAAATTTCTCAGATTTATATGTAGTATAAATTGTATATTATTGGGTCATAAAAACCTTTTTGAGGATTTTGGTTTATCCAAATCGAGGCGGTTTATCCAAACTTTTATGACCTTTGGCGTGTAATAAAATTCGGTAAAAAAATCAAATAGTTTAGTTAATGCAAGAAAATGATTTTGATATAGTTAGAAATAATTCTTCAATGGATATGCAGTTTTATACAAGCTCGTGTGTAAAGGAATTTAAATTAATTTGTCAGTAAGCCAATTTTTCACATGTTGAAAGAATTCATTAGTGAGAAACGAATTCATATTTTTTTTTTGAAAAGAGAATGTAAATAACATTATTATTCTATTATTATATATTAAATATTTTTTAAAACAATATTTTTTTTACAGAACCCGCATTTTTATCTTCAATGCGACATATGTTATCTTAACTCCCATTGAATTCTACACAAGCATGCATCATTTGCGTATAGACGAATTTTTAGAGATAAGCGACAGCGCGTGGTGCTAAAAATGAAGGCAAAAGTTTTTTAATTATTTCTTATTAGCAAGATTTTTACAATAATTTGAAGGTTGAACAGAATTCGGAATATTGTGTAAAATTCTTAAGATCAGCCATAAGCAGTTAAGCATCTTTAAGCAACGTTAAAAGAATAAAGTATATCTCTTTTGTTAGGTTTTGTATCTCATGATACATACATCTTCAACAAACGGATTGTGTAATAAAATTCAATCATCGGCTATGCTTTTATTATATTATATTAACTCGTAATTATCAAAAATAATATTAGGAAATATTATGGGCTCACCCGTAGGTAAGCGGTTAAGAGCGACGAGACTTGTTTTAGAGGTCCCGGGTTCGATACCCACTTCGAGCAGCCTGCTGTCAGGCAGCAGTGACAACGATTTTCACTTGGAAAGATAGATAGCAATATGTTTCCAAGTGAGAATAGCTCTTGCCCGGCATTGCTGCACCAATAAAAAGTCAGCCCTATTAGATTAATTCTAATAACAAAAATCATCAAATATGGATGGATTAACTATTGGGTTACCATCTAAAAATACGAAGTGAGGAGAAATTTCAGCCCAACATCTCATAGGACGTAAGGTTCTGATTGCTGTTAAAAATATAATGAAAAAAAGGAAATATTATATTTCAAATAAATTTATGTATTTGGTAATGCGTTTAGCTTTCAATGTCCTGCTTTCATTACTATATGGAACGGTGCTCTAAATACTTTTTGCCAATTGTTTACTATAGGTACAAGTCACAAAATATATTGTGCTTAGTAATGTAAATAATTGTTAAACAATCAAATAAAATTAAAACCTACACCAATTATATTAATTAATTCTTATATAATCGAAATAAATCAAGATAAAATGCTAGTTTATAGTTTCGATATTAAATTCCTATAATGACCTGCTTGATATCAAGTTGTCCGGGGCGCGTATCGAATCTGGTACAATCTTGTAGCTTAATGATATAATTAATGTAAAAGAAAAGTTCATAAAAATATTCGAGATAATAATGTTGGGGAATTCTATGTTTGTTGCAATTTATGGAAAGCATTCAGGAAAGAATATATAAAAATTAATAATTATTTACCACTTGATATATTTTACATGCGCCTCTGCCTTTCTTACTTTCAATTACTTATTGTTAGTGCGTATGTGTGAAATCGTTTGTTTGTGTTAGAGCTTAGAAATAGGTACACATGGTACTTGAAAATTCATTAGTATTTTGTATTTGCTTATTAAATAAGTCACAAATAAGCTGGGAGCAAGGTCGAGTCAAAGTAAACACGGCGCCTTTAACAGGAGTCTCAAATCTGACTCTCATCACACATGTAAACAAATTTTACTTTCATTTACACCCTTTTGTTTTGTAAATAGAAAAACAAAGACAAGTGATGACTTTTTTTTCATTGAATACCACTTTTAGTCGTCTTACGGGTACTGCGAGACTCCTTATATTAATTGATCTTAATAATTGATATCTTGTTTATGTGGTACGTTATTGAAATCGCAAAAAATAGAAATATGTTTTTTAAATTCCAGTAGGGCAAGTTATAGTAATCGCAAAAAAATCGAAAATGAAAATTTTTATATATCTTTACGTTTCACAGGTTTCTGAATATTTTGGCATACCTTAAAAAATGGATGTTTGTGTGTGTATGTGTGCGTGTGCGGATACAAATTTTCGTCGACGATTTCGGGAACACGGATGAAGCTATTTGAATAATTCAACAAACATTCAATTCGTATTGATAAGGAGACGTGCTGATTAGTTTTTGGCGAAGGCAGGTCTAGCCGTTCCAAAGATACGGGGCAAAAAGTGCCGAAAACGGTAGCTCAGCTATATATATATATTTAATTACTCGAACTTTGAATTGCGGTACGGGAAGTTCCAGCAATTTGCCTTAAGGCACGATGCCTTGCGTTAAGACAGAATTCCACTTACAGCTAGTTTGTAAATAATTTGGTATTTCAGAACTTCCTTCAAAGACATTGAAAATTAACAAAAAATAACTATCTGGTCGATAAAAATGCGCTATGCAATATGTTGAATAAGTTTTCGGATTAGGTTAACAAATTATATTGTGTGCATGAGGATTTTACTAAATGATTGAAAAAACTCAGAAAAAAAATATTTTAAAATGTTACAAATTTCTTAAATTTCAGTTTTTCAGAGATTTTTTTCTTAAATTTCAATTTTTTTAAAACGTTACTATTTTTAAGATTTATGAAATCTTAATGACTTCTCAATTTTTCAAACAAATTTTTAACTTCCCGAAGGAGAAATTCATGTTTCTGCCTGAAAATCTGATTTACTAATATATTTTTTCGACGTTTCTAATCATTGTGAATTGAATTCCGAAATTGCAAAATGTGTGTGCAAAATTTTTTGTTCACGTTTTCTTCAAGGAACCGAAACAGTTTTTGAAAATTCAAAATCTGCTCGAAAAATATTTGTTAGGAATCGTGCTGATTGATTGTTGAAAACAATTGAGGAGTGAAACTTTGTATAACAAGGTACGTGGTGAAAGTGAACATCATAAAATATTATAGGCCTAGGAAAACCGGTTTAATTTTAAAAATTTCTGAAAGTAGGGAATAACGGTCTGCTTCTAAATTTTATAACAATGTCGTCATTATTAAATGGCTAAAAGTCAAATTTTATTTAATAAATCTTTTAGTTAATTCCCTGGTGGTTACCACTTCTTCCTAGTTTCCTCTACGTTTAATTGATTCTTAACAAATTATGCGTAATAAAATTACAAAATCTAAGATATGATTAATTTTTGCGACAATGTTCAGTGTTATCTTGATGAAGATGTCAATGTAGAAATATAAGTACGCGGTTTTGATAACTTCGCGCATGTTTAGCGATAAGTGTAAGATCAAGTTTTCCGAAGGAATATACGGCATGCAATCTTATCGACAAAAAGATTGAATTACACTTTTGCAATGCAGAGTTCAGATGAGTCATTATATCAATTAATATAATGAATATATAATATAATGGCATCTTTGAACAGTGGTGGTATTAGAAAGCATAATTATAAATTTATAATAAATAATCTCCTGCAAGTATGATATTGTGCCTTATGAAAAATTGATCTTCATTTTTGATGAACATATACATTTTTTTAACTAATAAAATCTTGTAAATGCGAGTTAAACACATTAATTAATAAAAGTTGAAACATTCCACACTATTATAATGTTGCATTCGATTTTCTTAGCATCAAGTAGCAATGATGCTATTTTGCACTTAAAAATATAAATCAAAAGCACATATGTTTCTAATTGAAAATACTTTTCTAGGCTCGCTTTGGATGTAAGAAGCTAGTGTGAATTCTTTATATCAAAATCTTTCTAAAATTGAATTGGAATTAATTTATTGCAGTAAAGGGGGTTCCCCTCGGACCGAGTATCTCATCATTATCTTACACTTACTAATTTTCAAATATTTTACTTTTGGATTTCAAAAATTTAAAAACCATTTGATTAAATTCCCGTTAATTAGCATTGTAAGACTATCGTTCCAGCCGTTTTTTTACACAGAGGAGTGCAAAATTTCACCCTTGCAATTTTACAAACACCCCATTTTACATATACTATTTTATATTTAATAATCACTTTATATGATTATATGGTTTTCGTATAAATTATTAATTTTCTCATTTGGATATTTTAGTACTTGACCAAATATAATGTATATGCTAAAACTAATACTCCAACAAGTTTTCCTATCATATTACGATGATTAATATAAATGAATGACTATTGTACTATTAAAGTCCACATGAATCCACTTACATTGCAATAATTTTATAGTACAATTTGTTTAAACTTTCTGGGTTTGAATTATTAAAATATAGGTTATAAAAATATTGATTTTTGCGATCTTGAAAGTTATTCTTAATATTAAATTAAATTTAACTGTTGATTTATAATTTAGGTAAAATTTTAAATGTAATATTTAATTCACATAATTGCAATATGCGATACAGCTGTCTGTTGTATAATTTGATGCGACTATTTTTAATCAGCAGATAAAAAAATCACATTTCTCATCATTCATTAGTCTTATCTACAAATTTGATAAGAATGATCGGACCTTGAAATAATTACAAATTATATTTTATATTTGAATTACAATGTTAAATGAAATAATACTTATTTCCTTCACTTTATATTTTATGAAAATATTTTTCAAAAGTGGTTAAAACAAAAGTAAAAACAATGTACTAATTGTAAGTAAAATTGGACATTGGACATTTTTATTGTTGAAATTTTGTAATATTCATTTGCAAAATAATTTTTTTATGTTGTTGCCGGTTATTTAATAAATTATATTGAAAGCCAAATTTTAAAAAACTTGGCTTAAGCTTCAATGTTATTGGTAGATTGACTATTGAAGGTTTTCATTTTTATTTTAATAAACATTATGCACGAAATCCTGACGTAACTTCAAAAACGCACAGGACTAGAATAGCCAAATTCGAGCTGCCAAATATATATACCGTTCAACTAGTAGTGAACGTTGCGTTCTAGATAATTTAAAATATGTGACAAATCGTTAATTTCTTTATTTATTATATTTTATTTTTATATTGTTATTTATTATTTAATGTGCGAAATATATTTTCATATAAATAACCGTATACAATGTTCAATCAATATTAGAAATTTGTTTATATAAAATTTTTAAATGTTCAAATTGAATTTGAACTCACAATCAGATTTATACCTTAGCCAACCTTAGCTTTATTAAACATATAATTTATAAAGCAGTGCAATTATTTGTATATTATACTGCAATTCAATTTATTACATATTTATTATTCAATGCTATTGAATAAAACAGTTTAAATGGTTTGTAGAAAGTAATTTAATAATTATTTATGGTTATTTTAAGTAATATAATTAATTCATAATTGAAAACTTATAAGAAAATTTAAATTTAAAGCGATTATTAAAGGGCCTTACTTGTTGGTACCAACATAAAAATATAAGGAGTTTCCAAGCAAGTGCTGATGACGTAAGGCACGCTACTTCATCTTGGTGGAACAAGCTTCGGCACATGATTGGCGAGCGGTGAGAGGGGCTACCTCATCAGTTGTGTCGTCTAGTTGGCAGTTCACTTCCACTTGCCTACCGTCTCCAGACCCTGCTATATCGGGTCGAGTTTGCAAAAGAGTTTTATTTAATTTATTGTTGCCGCCCGTGTTAAATTAAGTAAACTTTTTCAAGATGATGCCCGCACTTGCAGACCCAGTGGCTTTCGCCAAGGATTTCGCCGCAGGTGGTATTTCTGCTGCAGTCTCTAAGACTGTGGTAGCACCCATCGAACGTGTCAAATTGCTCCTGCAAGTACAACACATTTCCAAACAAATTGCTGAGGATAAACGTTACAAAGGTGAGTGCTACTAAAATATTTCTAATTTAGTTAAATCTGTTTGATGTGCCCTTTCTGGAAACTACTATCTGCCGTTTGAGCGGCACGTGGTTTTATAGTGCTACTTAGATTTGCAAGTTTAAATTTCAGTGAAATGTATTAATCTGTACATAATTAAATTGAACATAAATTAATAATAGTTACCGGTTGACTATTAAGCGGTATTAATATGATTTTTTACTATGTTATATAACCCACTTGAACATTATGTGAAACGGTGCTCATTAGTTGATTCATTCTTTTATACTATGTTAATTCATTTTCAGTTAGATTAAATAGCTACAAATATTTTGTACGGATCGAACATTATTCGCATAATATAAGTTCATATAGGGTTCCTTCATTGTTAGGTAATACACCTTTAATGGCTGCCATTGTTAGATGCGGGGATTTATTTTGCATCGATTTTTTCGCATTATTTAGTAAATTTAATATTAAGACTTAATTTTTTCATTAATGTAAGGATTTTGTTGTTTTTTTCACTATTTTACTTCTAGTGAATGCATTTAATAAAATTTTCTTTGCCGGATTAGTCCTCCATCTTGGAGTCGGCGCGTGCGCACGCGGCTTTTCATCTGACATTTACCTTGACACATTTGATCGAAATGTTCTACTTGTCGTTATCATATACAGTTATGCAATTATTTGATTAAAAATCTCAATTACAGGTATCATCGATTGCTTTGTACGTATCCCTAAGGAGCAGGGCGTACTTTCCTTCTGGCGTGGTAACTTGGCCAATGTCATTCGTTATTTCCCAACTCAGGCTTTGAACTTTGCATTCAAAGACAAGTACAAGCAAGTTTTCTTGGGTGGAGTTGACAAGAAGACCCAATTCTGGCGTTACTTCGCAGGAAACTTGGCATCTGGTGGTGCTGCTGGAGCCACATCATTGTGCTTCGTCTACCCACTTGATTTTGCCCGTACCAGGTAATTCAACTTTGCATTTAGAGTACTTTTCAATTATTCACATAATACTATTCAGTTGTATTGAAGGTTGATTTTCGGTTGCAGTAGCTTATTTATATTTTTTTACTCTTAAATTTTTAGTTTTTTGTTAAACTAAAATAAATTTAGTATAATAAAGCTTAATTTATTTAACTTTCGCTCATGTAAATAAGCTCTATAAGTGTGCCTTAAAAATATAATTTAAACTGGCTTCTAATTGTTTTGGACATCAATTCCAGATTGGCCGCTGATGTAGGTAAAGGCGCTGGTCAACGTGAATTCTCTGGATTGGGCAACTGCTTGACCAAAATCTTCAAGTCTGATGGTCTCCCTGGATTGTACCGTGGTTTTGGAGTATCTGTTCAAGGTATCATCATCTACCGTGCAGCATACTTTGGATTCTATGACACCGCTCGTGGAATGTTGCCAGACCCCAAGAACACCCCATTAGTTATCAGCTGGGCCATTGCACAAGTAAGTTTTGATTCTATATTCATTAAATTCGAATTCATTTTTCATTAAAAAAAAAAAACGATCCTGAAATGAATGTATAAATATATTAAATTATTAAATATTTATGTGTCAAAACATCACTTACATTCAATTTGAATAGTATTATATATCGACCAATTTGTTTTTCAGGCCGTCACAACTGTTGCTGGTATTGTGTCATATCCATTCGACACTGTCCGTAGGCGTATGATGATGCAGTCTGGACGTGCAAAGTCTGAAATGTTGTACAAGGGAACACTGCACTGCTGGGCCACCATTGCCAAGACAGAAGGAAGTGGTGCCTTCTTCAAGGGAGCTTTCTCCAATATCCTCCGTGGTACTGGTGGAGCTTTCGTTTTGGTCTTGTACGATGAAATCAAGAAATTGTTGTAAATTAAGCAATAAACAACCATAACAAAAAAAGAGAAAAATCTAAAAACAATTTAAATTAGCAAAACCAAGTGTATTTGAATTTCATTTTTGCACAAGTTACCTTTTTGTATTAAAATATATGTATATTTATGAATATGTATTTCTTGTATTTTAGGTTAAATTCGTTATAGAATAATTTGGAAATACATATTCATAATGCTAAAGTATTAAATTGGCTTTTTTCCATTAAAATCCTATTTAACATTATACATATATTTTATTGTCAAATGTGAGGCGGTATGGAATCACGGGTGGCTGCTTTCTGAGTAGTCGAACCTTTTAGGCAAAAATTGTGTAGATCAAACTCAGTTCTACAATCTTGAGCTCATCCACATTCTCAGAACATCCATGTATTTAAGTTAACTTATTGTATTTAACAGTTTTTGAGGAAATACTGTAAATATGTTTAAGATAAATACGAGTAAAATTGTCGAATTATGATTTTTATTTATATTTATTTGAATAAAATACAAATGTTGGAAAGCTTAGAGTTGTATGGACCGGATACAATGTGTTTTTCATGTATACCTTGTTCCTTCTGTTCCTAATTGCAGGTCCCAGTTTGAGAAACCCATGTTCAAAATATAAGTCAGCAAAATCACAATTTAGAAGGCTACAAAAATAAAAGTTAACATTTATGTCTGCATTTGCTACAAATTGAGTTTGTGCAATGTTTTTTTAATTTTATAATACCAACATTCATTGTGCTGCCTACATTGAACTACTAGTTCACAAGTATGTGGTGTGCATGACAAACAAATATGAGCTAAATGTTTTACCTATTAGTGGTCAGAATTTTCTTTTAATTTGTTAGTTAAACATAATAATCAGTGAAAACAATACATGTGTTTGATCATTTTGTAGCCATTAACATGTAATGAGAGTTGAAATTGAAAAAGAAACAGGAATTGTGAACAGCTAAGCAGTTATTGCAATACATGTTATTTTAGACATATTGTACATGACTGCATCATGTTATAAATGTGAAGAAAGGTAGGAATTATAATTTCGTTTTCATTAAGAATGAATTGAAAATTTTATATTAAATGGTTTGTATTACCAGACTTAATTACAGAACTTACACTTATGATACACTGATATAGATAGTACTTTTATATTGACTAACAAATTCTTGTATTTTAATTCAATTAAATTTGTACTAAGTTATAGTAAATTATATTTGCCCTAATATAATATAGTTCATGCAAAAACACATGTCAATTTAAAATATGATTTGTTGGAACATACAAATCATAATTTTTGAACATAAAAATGTGATTGCTGACAAGATTCCTCCGCGTTTAATTCTTATAACTACAATGGCATTAATAAAAATCGGTACAGTTACTGTAATAAAACTAATTAATTAATATTGAACATACCACATAGAACATTTTATTTACATATATTAATAAAGTTTTTGTGAATTATATCTATACAGGAGAGAGTGGATATCATACCGTTGTTCTATTAGAATCACCAGCCAATTTATCTACTATCTGCAATTTACATTTTTTAAATTAATATTTATTATAATCTGATTATTAAAATCTGATAGTTTTTTTTACTTACACTACTTATTCCTGGCATATTTAAAAATGTGCCTAAGATGGGTATTCTTCTTAAAAAGTTAATCGCAACAGGAAAGAATCCACTGAAATCAACATAAAGATTCTTTAACATCAGCTTACCAAACTTTTTAATGTGATTTTATTCATTATTCAAATTATTGGTTTTAACATCCATTTAATATTCATTAAACAGAAACTTTAAAAGACTTATGTCCGAATATAAAATTTTCAATGATATAAAAGTTTTGCTGCAATTTGAATACAAGTTTTAAGAAAATTTTATTTCAATGACTTACCTGAAAAGTAGAACAAATCCATATGTTTCTATGATCATTCCAATCAATGGCCATCCAATTAGAACTACAATAATACCGCCGAAAAAGCATATTGATGCTTTAACTTTATGCCTTTGAAAGAAAAATCTAAATGTTCTTTCCAATCCTATAACACAAGCTAAGCCACATATAAAGAGAATCTGGAATAAACAATATACATTATAAATTTCTGTATTATTTAATTTTAAATGCTTTTAAGTTATTGATAAAGATTTTCTTTATAATAAGGTCTTTAGTTCATAAACATATTCATAATTTAAAATTATTATGAAACATAGGCAAATATAGAAAATATCAATTTAATTATTCATTAAAAAAATATTAAGTAGTTATATATGTATATAAGTAAATACATGTTAATTTTATTCTTTTAGATCAAAATGCTAAATACGATAGATATGAGCCATGGTAAAATTCAACATATTATTGATGGAATAATCAGTATAAATTTTACTGAAATAAATTAAATACATCTTAAAAATGCTTGTACCCTGTGATCGAATTGATATGAAGACGAATTGGAAATATGAAAAGGACATATGCGATCAGCAGAAATAGTATCAGGTAAAGTTGCATGCTCAAGAAGATTCGAGCTCTTTATGCATAAAAAGTTTTAATCTCAATAGTCATGTTTATAATCTTAGTTATCTTCTTACAACTTTTATATTGATCTTTTATTATATATATATATATATATATATATATATACATATCAATTATAATTTCTCACTAAAAAGTTAATTATTTCAAGCCAAAGTACTTGGGACATAAATTTACTTTATTTGAAAATAAATAATTGTTTCTCTAGCGTTAAACAATGATACATTTATTTACCACATAGAAGTTATGCAGTGCTGGTAAAAAAAAACGTGAAACTAATATTTCTCTTATTGCTTCTTATATACAGACACATTTTTTGCTTTGAAACAAGCGAGCAAAACTAATAAATAGTTTTTAAGTACCAGAATCTCCATATTTAAAATGATGTCATTCAACAACTTATTATTTAAGACATTATTATATCTTACATTTCCAATTGCAAGTAATCCTTTATCGAATAGTAACAAAACACCCAGAAAGAGAAATGCTATACCAAATCCTGCCAATCCCACACCAATTTCTGAAATATTAATAAATGTAGAATTACACATATTAAAACTAAACTAATTTAATGACTAAAAGATAATTACTTTGCACATCATTTACTTCAAACATTTTTAGTAGTTTTATTCATATAAGTATTCATAAATTTGTATATAATTTTCTTAACATAGAAAGTTAACCTATGAAAACTTCCACGTCATTCGGTGTTATTTTAATTATTTTATAGAATTTGCTTCATGACTTATAGTAAAAGTTAAAGCTTTCCGATCTCTGCTTTCACAAAATTTGAAATTTTAATGAACCTTCATAATTAATTTAACGGATAAATTTTGATAAAAATGTCAACAATTATCCACATCACTCAACTTTTATAAATAGTTTTGGTAGTGTCATCTGTATAAAATTTTCGATAAAAGGGTACAAGTCTAGACTAAATAGAAATTTGGTGAGAGACTTGAGAGATTTAGTAGAGTGAAATTATTATATATTAATTATTATATATTAATTATAATATCTGGACCAGTACAAAAGATCACCAAAACGCCGAGGTACTACTTCTGAAGGTACTTGCTTTGATTCGCTTATATCAAAATCTCCTCCAAGAATTTTCAAAAAAAATTTATTGCCTCAAGCGAATATTGAAACAACTTGACTAAGCTTTTAAGATTTACTATTCTATTATTCAATTCTAAAATAATATTTTAATTATTATAATAATTATAATTTAATATTCTATTGAACTATTATTTTATTTCATTCTAGTGTCGTAGGCTTGTTAAGACCATAAACTTAATTGCCATATGATCGCCAAGCAACGATTTACTAAAATGGTCAATTTTTTTAACTATTAATATGAACAGCCATCCATCCAGATATTAAAAAGAAAAATTTATTAGGTCTTCCATACGTTTGAGCACCAATTTGACTTTTCTTCGACATACATTCATATAAAATACATACATTCATAGAATATACATACATATAAACATTGTATATATATGCAGTAGCGATATCCATTTTCATTTAATATATATTCAAAATATAAATCAAGTATATGTTTACAATGAAAATAGCCCATTTCGGGTACTGTGGTGTGAAATGGAAATGGGAAATTTCTCACACTATTTTTCCCTGAATCAAGTTAGAGTTTAACTCAGCCCACGAACCTTCCCTACCTTATTTTTTATTTTTAACTTTCCGCAGGGTAGTTATAGTAATGGGCCGATAATCAAAAATGAAAAACTTTACGTTTTGAAGGTTTCTGAACAATTTGGCATACTTCAGAAAAAATGGATGCGTGTGTGTGTGTTTTGTATGTCCGCATTTTTTTCGGGCGCACGGATCAACCGATTTGAATGGTTAAAAAAACAATCGCTTCCTATTGATAGGGAGATGTACTGATTATTTTTTGGCAAAGGCAGGTCGAGCCGTTACGGAGATAGGAAGCAAAGATGTGCAGAAAATACAAATCGAGAGAACGGAGTATTGAAATGATCTAATTAAAATTCAATTTGTAATAATTGAGAGAAGAGATGATTAGTTTTTGGCAAAGGTCCAGCCATTTCGAAGATACGGAGCTAAATGTGCAAAAATTGGTTGTTTTGGAGAGAATTAAGCGTCCGATTTGAATGATTCAAAGATCTGCTTCTTTTAGCAAATAATTGCTTTTGGAAAAAAAAAATGTTTCAACTTTTTTTTCAAAAAAAAATTTTTTTTTGTATATCGAAAATAATTCATATTTTAATTTTAATTCTGATTAAAGTTCTAATTTACTTTAAACAAATAATTTCAACTTTGCAATTCAGTTTATATAATTCTTATAAATATTAGACAATGTTACAATATTTATAATAATAATCTATTTGAAAACATTTAATATTCGATGCCATACACCACTAGTTAATGTTATAATTTCAACACTGCAATTTCTCAGTGGCAAATATAAAATTAAAAAAAAAAACAGATGTTTTTAATATATTTTTAAATTGAATGTTACTATTATTACCGATTAATCATTAAGGGAAATTGCACGTATCGGATTATTTCAAAAGCATGAAAAGATGATTGCAATCGTTTTAGAGCTTCGGGTATATAAGTGCAAAATGGTCGAAGAATGTATACGTACATTTTAAATTAACATAATATTAAATTTTTCATATCAAGATAAAAAAATAGTTAAATTTTATTATATGTAAAGTAATGTTCCAACAAATTTAATATAAAATTAGTATTATGATATTGTTGTAATAACGCTTGAATGTTCAATAAATGCTGTTTCACCCTAAAACCAGTTCATGCACAGAAGAACTGGTTTAGTGTATGGATGGCACGATTGTCATTATTATATCCGTTCATTAAAACACGCCAACCCCGTTTAGTGCTGAAGAAATGATTTTTTTGGGCGCATTTGCAAATCAACCAGAAAAAAATTAAAAACTGAAATAAAAAATAAATCGTGCGAAATAAAAGATAAAGTAAACTAGAGCTGAAAATTGAAATAATTCATAATATACGCAATAAATATGAAATTGATTACAGTAATTTTAATCTCATAGGGTCTTATGAAATAAGTATAGAATGTGATTGCATTTTCATATAAAACTTAAAATATTGGTATGTGATTTACTCATGCGTGAAAAACTGTCTGTGAATTATTGGAAAAACTATATTTATTTGCATTGTTTATTACATTCAAAATATTCAAAATTCTTAAAATATCTTATATGATCTAGTTGGATCTAGTCTATGGATCTAGTATTATATTTTTT